GGAAAGAGTTAACCCTAAACCCTATCAAAATATCTTGATGAATGGTGTTTCCATTTTGGAAAAAAGGTACTATGTTAGTCAACTTCTATAGGATTTGGTTTATATGGTACAAAACAACGCTGTAGTAGAACTTCTTAGATCTCTAACTTCTCTTGAATAAGAGATGCCTTTTCCCTCAAAAATTGTAAAGCAGAGAAAACTACGGGCATCAATAAGCAATGATGATGAAGACACTTTGTCTTCTTCAGCATAGATATTGTCAGGCAAAACCCTATCATTTGCCATCAACGATTGGAAAGTAGAGAAAACTACAGGCATCAACAAGCAATGAATACGAAGCCACTTTGTCTTCTTCACAATAGATATTGCCGGACAAAACCTATCATTTGTTTCTACTAGCTTCAAATCATTTGTTTTACATCCACAATCTCCAGAACTAAGTTAATCTTGTTGCCGCTAAGTTAAATGCAGTGTATTATTCCTTTTTACTCTTCCCATCTTGTTCATCTCAATGAAAAAAAAAGAATGTTTAGTAGTAGGCAAGAAAGATGGAAGGGAGAAAGAAGGAAAAGTACCTCAATCAACTTCTTTCCTGTAAACCGCGACCTCTGCTGCCAAACATATTCAGCGAGAATTATACTACAGGGCCAAACAAACATGCCATAATTTTCTTCCATGTTCTGTAAACATGAAACTGCGTTAAATATCTTTGATATTTACATCTGAAACTAAAAAGGAGAAAAAAAAAATGGAACTTTTAGAAAGAAAAAAATGGAAAGATTATCGAAACGAACAAGCGGGCTACAGCGAGAAATTAAAAATAGGGCAAGAGAGGATGCCTCGATGATGTCGATATAAAAACAGTGGGAGTCCTCTGTAGACTCCTCGCCAAAGTAATGGCGAGAAACAGCGGTCATTGTTCCATCAGCTACGGACGCTGGAATTGGAGAAGGCGGCGGGGGTTTTGATGAAGAGGCGGTGGAAGCAGCGGCTCCGGCCGTTGTACGGTCCATATGGGGGTGCATGAAACTGCAAGTCTGTACCAAGCTGGCACAGGGCTAGTTGACCATAGCGATTTGGCCGATTTACGCAGAATTTAGAGAGAACAAGCAAATAGGGTCAGTTGTAATATTTCTATATATAAGCAAATCAGCAGTTTTCATGGCTTTGTGAGCAGCTAATCAAGAGTAAATGGAGTACCTAAATGCGACTGTTTTATGCCAAATTTGTTTGTGTTAATTCAGAATAGTAGAATTTGACTGAAGTGATTCACACATCAATTTAAACGAGGGTTTATTCATACTTTTCTAAAGGAAACAGCAAGATTGATTATATGTGGGTATAAAAGTAATGTCATAACCATTCAAATGGTACTGATTCAATAAGTTGAACGCCCAACCGACTGAGTTATTAAGGGAATTTAGAGTGTTTACTTGAGAGAAAAGCAAAACACCAAAAGAATGAGGATCCAGTATATCTGAAAGCCCTTTGCCATTAATCCAGGGATCCTATAGCAAAGTAATGTTACTGTCATCACTTACAACAAAAGAAAAACTTGATTTTGTGCTCTTGAGAAGTGAAAAAAAGCATTTTCTATAAAGAAATCCCCTTGTAATAGTTGCCTTGGAACAACCTTACAATAAAATTATCATAAAAGAGTGGGAAAAGACTTGGGTGGAGTCAATGCATATGCCAAAGTACTTTGGTTTACATATAGTGTCCCATGAAACTACGTGCATTTTCTTAGAAAAGATAGAAATGTGGAGCAAAAATTTAGAGCACCAAGATTGGAACATCTTTATGCAGCTTCTGGGAAGAAAAGGAACATGAACCTAGTACATAATGAGACCCCAAATAAATAAATTTGTGTTGAGAAATTAGGACAAAGAAAAACTAGGAATGACACAAATACAGAAGAACACATAGATTTAATGAGGTTGGGCAAAGATGCCTACATCATCGGAAGCAGAGCAGAGACTTTTTCTTCAATATTCAGAAAAAAATACATAATATAAGATTCAGCTCACCTAGGGTTACAGACATAGGGTTACAGATAGGACATATATATAACCCTATAATACAATATGCAATTACTTAAATTACCCATGTATCAAATCATGGGGTGTTGCTCCCGCACCCCCAACTCACATAATGAAACCCCCCCTGATTAGACAGATCCTTCCGTTCCACTCCGTTCGTGGGCTCCGCTCCACTCCAGCATCTGTCTCATTTATAGTATATGAGTCATACCTAACAAATCTCCACATTGTCGAATATCCAACCTCTTTAGGAGAAATGCATACACCCAACAAATCTCCACCTTGACGAATATCAAGCCCCTTAGAAGAAATATATCATGGAGTTTCTTATGCATCAATGTGGGTTGGGTCACCACTCTTCCGCCGCGCCCTCGCTGATCCCCTCAACCCACTAAATTCCAAGAGACACAACTCTTCAATTCCAAAAGACATCGTTTCATTGCAAGAAACTCCAAATTCTTGTATTATGAGTCATAACTAACAAATCTCCACCTTGGCGAATATCCAGCACTTTAGCCATCACTTTTAGGAGAAATGTATATACCTAACAAATCTCCACTTTGGCGAATATCCAGCCCCTTAGGAGAAATATATTATGTAGTTTCTTATGTACTGATGTGGGTTGGGCCACCATTATAAATAATTCCTTAATTAAGTTTCGCTTAATTAAGTTTCCCAAAAAATCAACAATTTTTTTTCGAAAAATGATTGAAATATTCCCTTAATTAAGTTTCCCAGAAAAGCAACAGAATCTTTCCGAAAAAGGATTGAAATATTTTCTTAATTAAGTTTCCTTAATTAAGTATTTCCCTTAATTAAGTTTCCCAGAAATATTTTTCCTTAGAATTCTAAGAAAAATCTCTGTCTCTGCTTAAAAAAAAAAATTCTTTTTTTTCTTTCAGAAAAGCTCTGTTTTCCTTCTCAGAAAAGCTTTGTTTTCGCTTTCCTTCCAGAAAAAACTCCGTCTTCGCTTTCCTTACAGAAAAAAGTTTTTCCTTTCCCGAGTGCAGCAGCAGATTCCATTTCCTTACCTTTCCTGCGTCTTGGAAAATCTTCGCGTGCAGCAAGATTTTTTTGGTTAATAGGAGAAAATTTCATTTATTGCCTCTAAAGAAATCTGAAAAATATCATTTCCAAATTTCTTCTCCACAGCAAAGAAATAAAATCGGAGTGTATTTCCTTCCAATTTTCGTCTCCACCTCCAGCAAAAGAATAAAATTGAAACTTGATTTCTCTTCCAATTTTCTTCTCTGCAATAAACTTGGAACTTATTTTTTTTCAATTTGCTTCTGGCCCCAACAAAGGAATGAAATCAGAGCTTCCAATTTTTGTCTCCGCTCCAGCCTAACGTTGAACCTTCCTTTTCTGCCTCTGACGACTTTGCCTAGCGCTGAAACCTCTCGTCAAACTGAAGCTCATCCGAACCGCTGAAGCCGAAGCTGAAGCCGAGATTCCTCTGTCACGATCGCGAACTCCGTGATTCCTCTGTCGATCTCGCCAACGCCTTCTTGTGCCTCTTTCGATATTGTCGACGCCATCCTGCGCCGACTCCTCCGAAGCTTTGTCGAACTCCTACT